TCTTGAATAACGTGGGAAGAGAGAGTCGAACTGACTTGTGGCCCTGTCTGAGGGGTTCTCTTGGTTATAGTAATTGATGTGGGAAGACCCAGACTGAAAATGGCAGACGCCATTCTCTGGGTTTGGAATCTGGACTACGTAAGAGCTGAGAAAGACTAGAGCAGTTGCCATGGGTCATCTGTTTCTTTCTCTGCTCCTGACTATGGATGTGACTGGCTGCTTCAAGTTCTGACTGCCTTGACTTCCCTGAAATGATGGGTTTCATTCCAGGTCAAACTGTGATCCGGAATCATAAGGCAGATGAGGCCCTCCTCCCCAAAAGGGCTTTTGTGTTTCAGCACAGCATCAGAAATGAACCAAAACCACAGCCTAAATAACCAAAAGCCAAAAACACATGCTTTGGTTTTACATTTGCTTATTTGCTTGTGTACGTGCATGTGCATGGGGTGGGGGTGGGGGTGGGGAGGGGGGAGATTGGCGCGCACATACCATGGAGCATGTGTGGAAATCAGAGGACAAACTGTGGAAGTAACTTCTCTCCTTCCACTTGTGGATTCTGAGGATTGAATTGAGGCCATCTTACCCACTGAGCCTCACTCATACTTTGTGATTCCAAAACAGTATGCCTACCCACTGCCTGCCACGGTATAAACCAGGGCCTGTTGGTGCATGCCTGTCATTCTAGCACTTGGGTGGCAGAGACAGAGGATCCATGAGGCAAGCTGGCTAAGCTAGACTATGCAGAATTGGTGAGTTCTGGGTTCAGCAGGAGATCTTGCCTCAGTAAGTGACGTAGTGAGCCACTGAGGAAGACACTGACGTCGGTCTAGGGCTTCAATACGCATGCACACATATGTACTCATATACATATTATACATACATGCACACACAAAAGAAAAAGAAAAGCCAAATTAAAACTAGACAAACAACAGTGGAGTATCAGCCTCAGGACAGACGCAGAGATCAATGAAATTGAGTGGAGACTCCAGAAATAGATACATCTGTCACAGATTGATCTTTAACGATGGTGCCAAACCCATTCAATGAAGGAATCAAAGCTTTTCCAGCACAGAGTGCATGGAGAGCTGGCACCCAGACATAGCAGCAGCCTTGGGCCTTTACCTCACGTCCTCCGCAAAAGGAACCCAAAATATATCAGATCTTAAGTGTATTCACAGAAGGAAATGGATTCAGCCAGATCAAAATTCATAAAAATTAAAAAGTTTTATGTGTCCAAGAACATTCTCAACTAAGTATAAAGAGGTCTGGGTGGATAAAGTATAAAGTTGGTGGAGTGCTTGCCTAGCATGCAAGAGATCTTTGGTTCAATCCCCAGCACCACAGAAATTGGGCCTGCAATCTTAACACTTAGGAAATGGGGGTAGGACAGTTAGGGGTTCAAGGTCATCTCCAGATACACATCAAGCCCAAGGCCTGTGTAAAAAGCAAACAAACAAAAGCATGCAGTGCTTCTGAAATGGAAACAGTAAGGAACTTCTCCCTCTCATCATCACCTGAAGCCAACCTCTCAACCCAGGTTGTACACCTGACTCAGGGGCAGATAAGAATGCTTGCAGTCAAGGCTTAGCTTGATTCCTGAGACACAAGCTGGAAGAAGAGAACCAACTCCTGAGAGTTGTCCTCTGACCTCCACATATGTACTGTGGTACTCAAGCACACACACACACACACACGTATTCAGAACACATGCACACGAGTACACACACACACCAATAAATAAACAAAACTTTAAAAAAATTAAATGCAGACTATGACTGAGGAGGTCTGGGGTGAAAGCCTCAGATTCTTGCATCTCTATCAATCTTTTATATGGTGTGCGTGCTAAGCGGCATCAGTGTAAGAGTCTATGTTCTAAGAGGAGATGAACAGGTAAAGCAATTCACTAAAACTGACAGAAAAGACCCACAGAGAAAATGTCTTTTGCTTCTTGATATCCCCTAAGGAACTTAGACTGTGTAGTAGGTATTTACATCAAGAACTCAGTCATGGGACTGGAGATATGGCTCAACAGTTAAGAGCAACGGCTCTTCTTCCAGAGGACCTATGATCTTCAGCACTCATGTGTTGGCTCACAGCCATCTGTAACTCAAGTCTTAAGGGATCCTGCACCCTTTTCTGGCTGCATCAGGTACCAGACATGCATATGTCATACAACCATACACATAAAAATCAAAAACTACATACATACATACACACACACACACACACACACAAAAGAAATTCTCTGAACAGGTGGGAATTTGGTGAAAAGGTAAGGGTAGGGTCAGGTCCTCACCTGGCTGGTATCTGCAGGGTAGAGTCCATGAAGCACCACACGACTAGAAATCCTAGCTTTCCTCCAGGTTGTGCTGAATTCTCACCATGTGTCTCTTTCTGGGTTGGTTCTGGTCCACTCTGTATTATTTCATTGCTATCTGTGGGATATGGCTTGGTGGTGCCAGCAGCCTTTCCTGCATCACCTTGTCCTTGTTGTTCCTCTGAAAGGGTCAGAGGTTATGTCAGTCTCCCAGAGATTTAGCAATGAGATCTGCCTGGTGTCAGAAAAGAGGTATTGACTGTCTTCCTTCTTGTCCCTGAAGTGGCACTATATGTCCTCTGCCTCCCTGTCCAGCTATGTTCATCCACCTCTTGGTTTCTTCCCTGTTTATTCTGTGATTGGCCCAGAGGAGGAGAGTGGGCTAGCAGGCACCCTGTGCAGAACCTGGAGATAGCAGCCAGGTTTGCCAGGCCCAGCGCAGGGCCTACTGCCTACTGCCTTCTGCTAAGTCTAGTCCTCTTCTACCTGCCTGGCAAAGGTCAAGCCCTCTGTGATGCTCTTGTTGCCATGGTGATCCTAGATGAGGAGGCTGTAATGTTCTGCATCTGGAACCTTCACCCATCAGTCTAATGTGCTTAGCTTGCTCCCTGACATGACTCTCTACCAGGGGGCTGGAGAGTATGGGCTCTGCTACCATCAAAGTCTTCTCTGCACACCCCTCATTCCTCAGACCTCCCTTCAGCCTCAACAGAAACCCTAACAGGTAAGCCTCAGATCCCAAGTAACCCTCCTCCAGGGCAGAGGTTATGGTTGGGGGTAGAAAGGACCCAGGACCCAAACTCAGAAGACTTTAAGTCCCAGGTCCTAGTCCTAGTTCATTGGTAGTGATGTGGTCTTGGCCAAAATGTCTGCCTTGAACACCAGTGTCCCCTGAGTGTTATACACTCAGCAGTCCCTTGGCAATGCCTCAGTGACTTGCTGTGGGCTGTTCTTACGTGGTTACATCTTCTCAGCTCAGTGAGCTCCTACTCCTGCTTCAAACACTGACTCTGGTGCTCCCACTCCCTGGCCTCTCAGGCATTGCCATTCCCATTCTCTGCTAGAGGTTTTAAATATTTCTTTAGCAGTCACTCAACTCTTGACTTCTTAGAGGCAGGAGTTAGAACAGATTCTACTCTGGTATCAGAGATGTTTTGCTGAATAACTTTTTGTGGGATGGAAGGGGAGAGTGGTCTTGGCTGAGTTAGGCACTCTCCTTTTAGGGGTCATCCTGGGGTACCGCATCCAGGTATGTCTTGGGTTTTACTGTATACCTGAGGTCTGCTTGGTTGACTGTGTCTGAGACCTGTGGGACACCATGTCTTATGTTTGAGTGTGCCTAGAGTTGTGTGGGTCTAGGAGCAGATTGTTCACAATGTCTCTGGAGACATCTTGATGCATGGGGAGGGGCAGGGAACAGCACCGGCAAGTGGGGGTTTTGCTATGCTAATGGTAAGGAACATGGGCTCCATGAAAAATCAAAGAAGTTCTCCAGCATTTCCCAGATCTCCCAAAACACACTGAGGCTACTGGTCATGGTCAAGGAGATAACAGAGCCTTCCAAAGACAGCTTTGATTGTCACTGACACCCGGACAATCGTACCAGGTTTTCCTGGCAAGAACTAAGTCAATGGTGACCTCTAGTGGCCAACGGAAGGGATGCAGGACTCCATCAAGGCAGTGCTTGCAGATATATTTATTGGGCTGGATTTATCATAGTGGGAGGAGTTCTTGCACAATGTGCATGAAATCCTGCCCTGGATCCCCAGCACTTACCTGGTGGATATGGTGGTTCACATCTGTAACCTCAGCTCTCAGAAGTGGAGGCAGGAGTATTACAAGCTCAAGGTCCTCCTGGGCTACATAGAAAATTCACATGAGAACATACCTCAATGTAGACTCCTAGACTGTGTGTGTGTGTGTGTGTGTGTGTGTGAGAGAGAGAGAGAGAGAGAGAGAGAGAGGGAGAGAGAG